TATTGGTCACAGATTTCAAGATTTGTTGTCACAAATTACTTGTCATGTCACAGGTTATCAAATTTTAAATTCACAGTTTAATCTTGGTCACACATAACCAATTAATTGGTCAAGTGGTCACACACCACCGCCACCGCCACCACCATCTTCACAGCCGAGAGATCCACCACCATCTCCGTCACTGTTGCCACCACCATCGACACCACATCACCACCACCAACAAATCACCATTTACAACTACAAACCACCACTGATACTATCAAATACACTGCCGATTCAACAAAAATCACCCAAACGTCAGATCCACCACCTCCGCACCACCATCAATCCAACAAAACCACCGCGCCGCTCAAGTTCCTACAGAAAAAAATCATCACCGCCTCAAAACCACCACCGTCGCATCCAACCACATAAAACACCATCACCACCGCCGGATGACTATCAACACCACATCGCTACCGCTGCTGTGCACAAAACACCACCACGCCACCGTTCAGGCGACGCTGCCCCTTGCTACAGTTCTCGGCAGCGTCGAGAACGGCGTCGCAGCGTCAACGCTGCAGTTCGCGGCAGCGTCATGACGTTGCCTCGAACTGAGCAGCGTCATCGCAACGCTGCCGGCATGGAGAGGCGACGGAGAGGAGTTGGGGAAGGTGGGAGAGAGGGGTAGGGGAAGGAGGCGAGAAAGTGAGAGAGTTGGGAAGGGATGAAAGAATTAGGTTATGAATTAGAGTTTTAATATAGTACCTGATTTTTGAATAAATAAATTGTACCCCTGATTTTTTAAAACTAATCTTTAAACAACTGATTTTTTGTAATTTCCCAAAAAAAATTATGAGGAAATTACGCCCAACCCTAATTTTAGATTTCGTTTTTCATAAATCCCATCCCAAGTTTAACTTTTCAAAAATCAGGTTTCTTATATTTAATTTAATATTAATTATATATTTTTCATCCCAATTAAAAAACCCAAATCAACCCTAAAATTCATTCCACCTACTCTCCCCTCCTACTGATTCTCTCTCCCCTTTTTCACAGAAACCGTTGTCGCCGCCAACGCTGCAATTCGCCGCCGCCGACGCTCCCTCTCTCGTCTTCACTCTCCCTCTCGTCCCTTTCGTCTGGATTCCCCCTCTCTCCGTCAGTCTTCTCCGTTCCCCGCCGCCTAAAGGAGTTTCGACGCTGCATCCCCTCGTCACTGCCGCCGACGATTGTTCCCCCTCATTTCTCTGTTGCTTTTCACTCCTTCACTTCTCTCTTTGTCTGGATCCACGGTATGCTCGTCGCCTCCACCGCATTTCACTTCACAAACCCTAATCACACACCATCTCTCTCACTTCTATCTATTTCGCCAGATTTCTGCTTATGGTAAAATTAGGTCACTTCACAGACCCTAATCACACACCATCTTTCTCACATGAGTACCAACGGTGCGGATCCAGTGATCTCGGTACGGATCCGTTATGGCGTTGCAGATTCAGTGTTGACTGTGGTTCCGGTGTTTTGCGGTGGTTGGGTGCGTGTATTTGTGCGGCGGTGGTGATCGTGTGGTTTGGTGTGTGTTTTGTTGCGTGCAGTGCGTTTCTGTGCGATGGTTGTGCTTTTTTTGTGCGATCATTGTGGTGAAGATGCATTGACAATGGTGGTGAAGATGCGTTGACGATGGTGAAGTCAGTGGTGAAGTGGTGGTCACAAATGATTTGTTGATGGTCACAAATGATTTGATTATTTGTGATCAATAAGTTGGTCGGTTTGTGACCAATGAATTTGATAAATTGTGACGAGTACAAGCTGTGTGATCTAAAAATTACTAATTTGTGATCTAAAAATTATTAATTTGTGACCAATAAATTGATGTTTGTGACCATAAAATAAGTAACGTAACTTTTAAATTTTGTGATTGTGACCGATGAACAAATTGTGACTTTTAAATTTTTAAGTTATGACCGATGAACAAATTGTGACCTATGAAAATTTTGAATTGTGACCTAAAAAGTGGCGGAACGGTCATCGAAATACTTGTCGGAATCGGAGCAGTCGCCGGAACAGTCATCCGAGAAGAGTGGTGATTGGAAAGTCGGTTGGAGTGGTGGAGGTGGGGTGGGGTAATTATATTAAATTATAATTAAATATTTAATAATAAATTGATTTAATAATTCATTAATTATTAATTAAAAATTTTAAAAACTTGATTTGTGAATTTTCAAACTTGTTTTTGTATTTTTGAAAATGTGTAAATACCTTAGAAATGTACCCATAGCAAGATTAACATATCAAGTTTAAGATGTCACTAGCCAGTAGGGGTTGGACATTCCAATAAAATATGTAAAAGCTAAAATGATTATTTAATAAAATTTTACGCTAACTTATCATATTTCTACTTTATTTGAATTTGAGACTGGCTGTGAAGAATGTAAACATAGTTTCTTCCTCTTACAATATATAGCAAAAGGAACAAGAAAGTTGATTGAAACATGCTTTAGTCGAAGGGTGGGAAATGACTAATAGAACTTTATTCTTCAATTTTATTTCCTCGGAATCGCATCATTAATTCTTCGAGTACTTCTTTCGAAATTAGATAATTATGATTAATCATCTGATTCTCACGTTACCGTGAATACAAAAGATGAACAGTATTTTAAAGTAAAGTTTTTGACGAACTTTGACAAAGATGCACACGAATTGACATAAAAATTAAAGTGAAAAAAAAAAGTCCAGGAATCCAGTAAAAGAGCTGAACTCAGTAATTAAATAATAAAGTTGGGTTCTCAACCTCCAAAGTAATTATATATTATTATTATTCATCAAATTCAAGTGTTGTAGGCATTAAAATACATTAATTATATTTTATTTTTAATGATCCCTAAAAGTTGAAAAGACAAGCTCAGTGGTTTGAAATTAAAGTATGGCCAGGTGTGTGAATGCCCCTTAAGAGAAACAAGAGGCATAAAGTTCCTTAATCTTTGTATTAATTAGGTTGTATAATTAATATGTGATTAGGAGAAAGTTGGCTTTGTTTTGTTTCCTTCACTTTCAAGGTTGAGAAAAAGTAAGATTTTATTAGCAGATTAAAAGTTACTTTTTAAACTAAGCCAAATGTTGAATAACATATTATTATTTGAGTGATAACTTTTTAATNCAAATCTGCTCCCATTTCGAGTCAAGAGATACATAAATAGACATATCCCATTGCACTGATCGGGGGCGTTCGTAGTGACTGAGGGGGTCGAAGACCAAGAAGTGAGTTATTTATACCAAGCATTCTTCTTACGACTAGATCCAATCTCCTGGTCCTTACGGAAAGGAAAAAGAATTTCACGCTCTTCCTTTCGGGAAGGGAGGATAGGGAAATCCTCTTGATTGCAGCTTTCTCCAGACCTCCGGGAAAAGCATGAAAAAAAATGGCTCGAATGGTATGATCTCTCCATCACCCCAAAATAAAAAGGGTGATCTCGTAGTTCTTGGTCCGTGAAAATGCATAATCAAGTGCTCAAATTTTCTTTTACATTGAGGTCAAACATAAACATGTCCTAAAGTGATAGTTAAGGGAAGTATTGATTCTCGAGAAGAGTCTATACAGAAAAGAATAATGCTATTTGTACAATGTTGGATTACAACATTGGTTTACAACTACTCACAAGAGAGGTGGGGTCCACTATTATTTTAATCACGGGACCCACCTCTTTTGTGAGAGGTTGTAACCCAATGTTGTAATTCAACATTGTACATGTAGCATTTCCCTATAGAAAAATAGAGTATTAATATTGTGCGCGAGATAATACTTTGTCGGCACTTTCAATAAATGAACTCAATGATACTGAACAATATTAATAAACAAAATAAAAACGAAAATTTTAGGAGGCAACATGTCCTACAGGCTACGTGGATGAGTGGGGGCAGGGCAAAGACAAAATTTCCTGATCTTCTGTTTACACATTTCTCATTCCCACGTTTTTAAATGATGCTCTTCCCCTCCATTTCCTCCTCAAAACTCACCTTCCACTACGTGTTTCTTTAAGTATAAATTCTCTAGAGAAAATATGGATGCAAATGAAAGCTATATTGACATGGAAGCTGGTTCGTTAGCCACCATTTTTTCACCTTCACACCATAGAGAATTTGAGTTCCAAAGTTTTTCGTGCTCCTCTGGCCGAGACACCACCACTTCTCCGGCGGACGAGCTCTTTTATAAAGGAAAGCTCCTCCCCCTCCACCTCCCGCCCCGCCTCCAAATGGTGGAGAAAATCCTAGAGAATAGTTATTCCTCCACCACTTTTGATCCATTACAAGAATCATTATTCAGCACTCCATTATTCACTCCTGCATCCAATACTCCGTTTGCATCGTGCAATATTTCTCCCACTGATTCTTGCCAAGTTAGCCGAGAACTGAACCCAGACGAGTATATTCTTGAGTACTCGACTGATCAATCGAGCATTTATGTAAGTTATGCTATTAGCCCAAGCGCTTATATGCTGTTTCTTGTTTCCATCTTTGATGATGTGGGATTTTATCCTTAACGCTAGAGATAATCGAGCATGGTTACATGTATATGGTATCACGCTTCTTGAATTATGGCGTATTAGAGGATAACATGAAAATTTAATATGAAAATTATAGAATAGTAGACTAGAAATCCTCAATAAAATTTAAAGGAAGTAAAACGTCTATAAATAGCTCATCTCTTTGGTATTACTTTGATATTATATTCTTTCATTTCATACGAGAATTTATTGACGAAAGAAGGGTATGGATCTCTGAATTCACGGAGTGGTTAGAGCTAGACACGTTTCAGTTTGGCTATTGTATGAACCATGATACTGCAGTGGCCTTGATTTTCCCTAAAAGAGAACGAAATACCCTCACCTCAGTCTAATTGTTTACATAATGCTTTGTGTTTTATTATATCGTTATCTGATCGTGTTTTTCTCAACAGGTTTTCGAGGAAGAACCGGCCAGTTCAAACACGAACAAAACTTGGACAAAACCTCTAAAACTTTTAAAGCAATCCACACTTGGATCCAAACTCAAAGCTTCCCGGGCTTACCTCAAATCTTTGTTCACTAAATCTAGTTGCTCGGTTGAGTCTTCAAGAAATATTGTTTATGAAGGATCAATTTCAAAGGCCAAAGAATGTGCATTTCAACATTCCAGGACCTCTAAAAATGTCCCATTCGGGCAAATTCAAACAAAATGTCACAGAAGATCATTTTCAGGAGCCATAAAGAGAATATCGAAGGCTAAATCTTCATCATCTAATTCCTTGAATTCGGGTTCGAATTCAACAGATTTGAATGGATTTCAGGAGATGAAGTTTTTGAAGAGAAGTATAAGTGGAAAATCAGAACTGGAGAATTCAATTCAGGCAGCCATTGCACATTGTAAAAGGTCTCATCAGCAAGAATTTTGTTCAAGAAAGACTGTTAGTGATCTTGGGTTTTGTTCAATGTCTGCTTCAAGAGTGATTCATGATGATCAAGAAAGACCAGAGCTTTGCAGGGGTTGATAAAGACCATGATATTATGTTTGGTAGGGAGGATTAAACTGTAGTAGACAGTATTATGCGATCACTACTGAACACCGAACATGTGCGGAGTTTATTTTGCAATCTTTTCTGCCAAATGTGCAATGAGCATTGTAAAAACCCAGGAAATTTTGTTTACGAGTTAAAAAGAAATATTAAGAAGTACCATGTTCGTGTAGTTGATTTCAAGTTTCTTCAAATTAAGAGTTTGTTTGTTGATATTAAATGTCTTTAGCCACACAATTGTAATCACTCTAATGTTGAATTTACAGCACAAAAATTCTGTCCAAACCGCATTGTCCGTAAAATACTCTTCCTACTTCGGTTCATAACAACTAGTTGATAACTAGACTCGGACTAGATAGATAACATTATTCTTAAGAATTTCACCCAGTTTATAACTCTGGTGTGGTCCTTCTATAACAAAATGCCAATTTTCTATCATTTTGTTCATTTTTTCGTAAATAAGTCCGTTACATAATCGACATATAAGGGCGCTGAAATTCTAACAAAGCCATTACTAGACCGATATCTATGTTTAATTTGAATCCCATTTCATTTTTAAAAGAATGATACAGAATGAACCCTGGAGGATACCCTTGAACCACCTCGTTTATTTGTTGAAATGGATCAAACTAAAGCTATAATATACTATTACTCGACTTTGTTTTCGATAAATTTGAAATCAAGCGACAAAATTCTTTCCTATAATCAAATCCACATAGATATAATTTATCATGAATTCTCCTTTACTTATAATCTAAAATTTTGAAGGTAATCATGGGGCGATTATAAAACCCTATCATAAAAGTAGACTTGGTCGAAGAGGGTGTGGATGTTTAGCAACATATTCGAATACAATAATGTTCGTATGAACCCAAGTGGGCTGCGCCATAATAAGAAAAATAAAATTATTAACTTATTGAACCAACTCAGTCTATTTCACACTCGTAACGCGACCACGAAAACACTTGGCAGCCAGTCTGCCTCTTGAACATCTCCACTTCTAAAACATAATGAATTCAAAATGGAAGAGATAAAACAGATTCAGACAGGACAGCTTTCAAGTGGAATGTACCCAACGAACCTTAAACAATTGTAAATCTGTAAGCCAGATATTTGACAAAATTGATGATAAAAGAGAATCCTCTAAAGAGATCATTTGATGATGTTCAGCACTACAGGGTACTGATAACCACATAACAAGAAACTCTTTCCCCACCCAACTTCCATATTTGTCCACAAAAAGGAACTGCACTAGTTAAATGCCTACCAAAGTTTTTCTTTGTATTGATCTTATATTTATCGAACATAATATTTAATTTGTTATTAGTACTAAATTAGGAACAATCGACTTCCAAAAAAAAAACCCTTCTCAGATGGTTAAACACACCATGTAGTTAATAAAATCACTCGAGTTCCAAAAGAGTCAACCTAGGTATTAAGAACTTCACATAGAGAGCTTGACGCAGTATATAGACAACGTCATAATTCAAAATAAAAACTATATTTCAGATTTATGAATTGCTTTAATAATTATATTCATAACAAAAGAAGTATGTCAAGTCTTAATCGCTCCTTTGACAAAAAAGGTCATTTGTAAAAAAAAAATATACAACCGAAAAGCCTGGTCAATCCATGACCGATTCAACTAGTTGATCCCTGTTTATAACATATGGTCTTTAAGTTATACCTAGACTGTTTTCAAGACAGTCCCAGTTTTTCCTGTTTTACCACCATAACGTTGTAACTTTCTAAAATAATAGCATCCACCCATTATGTAATTGACCCAATTGTATCCAGCATATTTTCACGCTTTAGCATTAATACCATTTCCTAAATCGAAGAAGAAATTCAAAAAACCGATGATGGGCAATAACAATCAATGTCGCTTGTTCAATATTCATGGTAGAATTCCTTTTCTCTACATCCCAGAACTTGACGATATTGGAACGATTTTTCAAGATTTGAAATCTGAAATTTCAAGATAATGTCGCCACCTAATAATGAGTTTCAATTAGATGTAACTCGTGATGGGTTTTTTCAAATTTGTCACGTGATATTCACCCTGCCCATCTTTACTTCTACATTTGATGTCTTGTCGCTTGTGGAGCAATTTGTATAGATTTAATATCAGAAATTTGAATATAATGTCCGACATGTGATTACGTAAATCAATTATATGTAACTAGGTATGAAATTGTTTCAATTTTTCTTGTGAATATGTAAATCATGCTTCCGTTAACAAAAAAATAAAAGTATTATATTCACCACATATGCAATTTTCCATGTCTATGAATATATACAGTGACTGGAAATGTTGTAGGGAAAAAAAAAAAGAATATATACAGTGAATAGCCTGTATGATTTGGTTAATTTTTCATATTTCTAATTTACTTTAAACAATATTTATGGTTAAAAAAAAAGTTAAAAAGTATATTCAAAATATTTATTAAAAGATAGGTGTGTGGTATAGTTTTCACTTTTTTATAGTGTAAATATATTAGCCCAATATAAAAAAATTAAAGTGCAGCCCTGACTCCGTCCCTGATAACATAAACATGTCCTTTATGTTTTCTCTATCTCAGTTCATGAGTCATGGAGTATTTCGGGGGTTAGACTTGGAGATATTTTGTAGTCTCCTTTAGTACATAGTATGAAGGTTTTTCTTAGTTTGTAGGTTTTTGAGTATTCAATGAGATATTGATTGATTATACCATTTTGACGACTAATTGTTTTTATCCAGTATTTATTCTCTATTTCTAAGTGAAATGTTGAGCTATACATAGAATATCGACTCATATATCTTAAGTTCTTGAAATAGGTATATTATTCACAGCAATTCATAAACCATAGATTCTGGTTTGATGCTATATGAAGTTACTTTGGATACGAACAAGTAATACTTTGACTAAAACTATTGATAACAATTTTGAAAAAGAAAACTATATCATGTCTGGTGGAGTGAAAGCTTAATTTTGTTGGTATTAGTATTCTTGAAATAGGCATATTGTTCACATGAATTTATAAATCATGGTCTAGTTTGGTATTATACGAAGTAATTTTGGATAAAATAAGTCATACTTCGACAAATATTTCAATATGGTATCAATTTAGAAAATTGAAACTATATTATATGAATAAAAACATCTCATGGATAAGCTTTACGATCAGGCGGTCTTCATAATAGAAGATACACTTGGCGGTAAGTTTGGGCTTGTTTGGAAATATCATCATAAATGATTAAAGTGTGTTATTTACAGTACATAAAATATTCGCCAAAGCTACTCCTCTACAAGGTGCAAGGTATTGTAATTTAGCAACATAATCCGTCGTTTTGACTACCCCAAAATGGAGTATACCATCGCCCCCTTTTCTATAAAATAGTCAACTCCCTGAGTGTCACGCGTTTTCTACAACGTGAATTTATGTCGCAAGTGTACGATGTCAAGTTTTGCAATATAATGATTGAGTGTCGAACCCACATGGATTGTAATTCAATTTCTACCAAATACTATAATTATATAACTTCTATTTTATCTAAACAAATGATGAATGGTTGAACGATTGTTTTAAACTAATCAAAAGTAATATGCGACGACAAAATTGTAGAACATAAAATTATCAAAATGAGAAAGCCTAAGGAATGATTTCACCTAACTTTCAATTATGATTCAATGAATTCAAATTATTCCAATTGATTTTCCCATATTTAAAAACAAGAATCCTATTGTATTTCTTTCCCCTCTCTCGAGTGCCGGCTAGAAATTAATCTTAAAATTCAATCTCAATATCTTTATTCCGAATTAAAACCTAGAATTTATCAAAGTCCAGATTCTTTTGTGGAGTAAGCTTCATATGCTTTATACTTTATCTCGAAACCTATAAAACTTAGGTTGTGTCAATTTTATGATCACGCTTAAAATCCCTCTCTCGAGTACTAGAATTGACTAGCATATATTTATTTAATTATTGATCATGTAATTGAAAGCGTTAAATTCATGATACAATTAAATATATGAGGGAAATTCTAAAAGAAATAATTCATATATTCATCAAACCATAATCTCAAGTTGGCTACATCAAATCCTAGCTAAATTGTCTAGCTCATGAAGAAATTCATAAAATCTAAACAATCTACTATGGAAAACATAAAGGAGAAGATAAGAAAAACTCTTTTTGTAATGTTGCTCGAAGTCTCCTTTATATTTTCGAGCTTTCTTCAATTGATTTCTTCCATTCTTTGTATTTAATATCCTTTGTCTTCAGTCGTTTTTCCCTTTTCTTCTACAAGAGCCCCCCTAAAATTAGGTCTTCTCACTTGTATATATAGTGTTTTAGAGTTTAGGGATGGATTAGGGTTGAATTGGGCCAAGAAAAGATTCAAAAAATATAAAAATACATTTTCCTTGCCGGAGGCGCCTCGGCGCCACTGTAGCGGCGTTGCGGCCGAGGCGTCGCGTATTCTGTTGAATTTCAAAATTAGTGGCGCTACGACGCCCAAACACAGCGCTGAAAACTGCACTGCGCATCCTTCAGTATTTGTATTATAACTTTTTTCTCCTGATATCCGATTGAGATGATTCGAGATGTTTTGGAAAGTTAACTCAAAGGTCTACAACTTTTCTTCAGCAATAATTCTCGAATTCGATCATTTCCTATGCCAAAAATTGGTCTCAATATGAGATTAAAACTTCAGAGCATAATTTTTCAGTTGAAAATTGATTTGTGATCATATTTTGATTAAATTTGATCACTTTGACATCTTTCCTCATCCCATTGGCCCTTAACACTCTCAAATCTTCTTCATGAGAATCGGCACAACTTTTGAGTATTTACACTTTAATCCCCGAATTTTGGATCTCTTACAATTTATTCATTTTCTCCCAAATTGTCAACTTTTGCTTATCTTCAATCTCACCAACTTACATCNCTCAAGTGGCTACATCAAACCCTAGCTAAATTATTTAGTTCATGAAGAA